TGGTATCCAGAAGTTTCCCTGGCCGAGCCAATCTCCTGACATACTCGACCGGCAAGTCAAGAAACAACCAAAAAACCAACTTTGAAGAGCGATCTACTCCAAGTTTTGAAGTAAGAGTGGGCGAAAATCCCACAATCTAAAACTGACGAGATGATTCTCACGATGCCCCAAAGGATCAACGAACTCCACGAAGCGAAAGGAAGATCTACTAAATATTAATTAAATTATAAATATATCAATTCATGTAAATATGACTGAAAATTTTCATTTTTTCTGAAAAGGTGGTGTATATTTACTTGTAACCACGCTGTGTATATGAATGAACATCAGTGAGACCAAGATGTTTCCACTGTTAGTTATTTGTTCAGCTTCAAGTATTACTCATAAAAAATAGACGATAGATTGTGCCCAGACCATTACTATGTATTTCATATCCCAGCTGGTCTGATGACAAATAGTATTGAGTAAAAGGCTTTCTCAGTATTGGATATGGGAAACAGATTATGGTTGACATGTTCACAAACAAAAGTTGGATTAAAGAATGCAGTGAAAGTGTTGAAACTTTTAATGAACTTGTCATAGACTAACACAAAATGTTAGACTACAACCATGGTCAAACAAAAAAAATTATATATATATATTTAAGTTTAACAACCAAGGAAGTAATAATAAAAAAAAACAACTTTCAAACATTTTTAATATAAATTTTATCACCAACAAAAACAAAAGTTGATAATTACGTGCCTGGCTAGAACTTCATATGAATGTTAATAAACAATACCACATAAATACCTCTGTTATTAATTTCAATAGATAAAAGAATTAGGAAAAAGAACTAAAAGAGGAAAAATACTAATTCCGAAAAAAAAAATAAATTCCAAAATTAAACCATTTGCAAGACCAATAACGAGTATCAATCAGCAATAATTCGTTCTAATTATATCTCGTGACCTAACTCGTTTAGATTCAAGGAAGGGTTTTTATTTAGTGGTTAGACCAGGAGATTACATTTTATGTGACTATCTAATTTACATAATCTTTCACAAAATTATTAACTGTACGTCACCGCTAGGGGAAGCTTGTGCCAGTTTCATAATAAAAACTATTCAAATCTAACATGCTCTAGTTAGAAGGTGAGTTAACGCTTTAATATGACCAAAAAAAATCACAGAAATACTAAATGAAGAGTAAACAGAACCAAATAAATTTAAAAAATAGAATTTGCTATATGCCAAACTTATTGTTACTCCGTGATAGTGAATAATTCATTATAAATTGTTTCGTCACCTAAGGGTGTTAATTATTATTATTAATTTGTGTAATGTTTATTACTTTATAATATATTTGTTAATTTACTTTTTTGTTTAAAAAATATTAATTTGTGAAAAAATAACAAAGACTTTGTTATGGGAAAAGGAACTCAAGTTTTAGGAAGGAATGGTTGCAAGTGTTTTTTAAATCATATCGAGTTAGTTTTGAACCTTTATTATTGAACAAGTTGGATATATTAATTATTATTATGTTATATATAAAATATTTTACGTTAAGAAAATATTCTGTTTTGTAAATTTCAGCTGTCTTTATCTGAAGTAGGTTTAGAGTTAGACTGACTATACTATAGAAATACTGCATGTTTACTCATGTCAAACTAAAACAGTAAAAGTTTTTTATTGCTATTTTAACAGAAACTTGGTCAAGATAAATCTGTGTCCTTTTATGTCTTACAGGTGTCTGATAAGAAGATTAGAAGAATGAGCAATTATTTAACAAGAACAATTACATGTTGGTCTTTCATAATCATATGCTGCCTTACAGCTGTCCAACTTTCTGCACACGTAACTGTTTTCGAGGAATTTTCCCTTAAAGAAGATGTATTTCAAAGGTCTGTAGAAAAAGCAAAAATATATTTAAAGGTTTATACAGAAACAAGCATACATACAGTCAGTGATAAATTTCTAAGTGTGGCATTGGATACAAACATACTTTCATCGCCCAAAGCATGGAGGAAGTTTAATACAAGGTTTGTTATACTAATAGTAATAGTAGTATTAGTAATAGATCAGTTCTAAAAATTATCTTTAATTTCAAAAATAGAGATTGGCTATAGTCTTTAGATATAATAGTTATTAATAATACCTAAAGGCTAAAGTAAAGGTAACGATATGCATTTTGTCTTTATGCAGTCTCATTTGCTGCTTTGTTTGTAGCTTCATGGAACTTCAATTAAAGCTAGAATGGACTTTCCAATCTGAAAAGCAAATGTTTCTTGCCAAAAATATAAATAGTTATCTAAACTTTTGAAACTCCGTCATTTTTGAATATCAATTTACCATACAGTTAATAAAGGACCACTTTAATGCTGTTCCTGCACACTCACCCCTAAGAAAATGAAAAGTAAAGTTCAACACACCCTTTATTTTCCAAATTCCAGACAGCCATGGATTCCTCCTTCAACTCTTGCAAGGCACCAGTTATTACATAGTTGATGCCAACTGTTCATACACTAATAAACCTTTTTAAGAGAGCTAAAACTTTTATAACTAGTTCTTTAGCTAGCAGCCTTTTCCCAATATTAAGCTTCAGAATTCAGCACAATGAAATCGGAGGCCTTTATCCTATTGATTTCCTGAATATTCTTTTAACATTTCATTGAGATTTTTCTCATGAAAAAAGAAATTGAATCTTAATCTGTCTTCAGAAGGTAACCTTTCCATTCTTTGGACCATTCTAGTAGTAGAAGTAGCCCTCCTCTGAATCATTTCCAATAACTTTATGTCAAATTGTGAGGGATTGAGCCACATGATTAGTGTAAGTTGATAATAGATCAATCATCAAGCTAATTATTACATTTAACTTATCAAAACTGAACAAAATGTTATAAATAAGATCTAACTAGTGTCCAGTGATTTGTGTAGAGAGATAATTAGTTGTCAGTAGTAGTGATGCAGTCTTTATTGGGCACATGTAGAGAAGGATAGGTCAGGGGAGCTACATGACTAGATCATATATATGTCTGCAAGGTCACCAAAACTGTTGTATTTCAAAAGTGAATAAAACTAAATAAATATTTTTATTTCTTGCTTTTGAAGTTCATATGTCATGCTGTGTTGTAGCCTACAGAGTGCATAGTTCTTCTTGTGATTCATGGCATGTGCATGTTTTACTGATTGCCATGACAGTACAAATTGCAGTGTTAAGCATCTTTTATGTGATGTCATTTTAATGTTTACTGACTGACTGACAGGCAATGCACTTCAGCTCTCTCTTGGGAAATAAGCACAGAAATAGTTCAGTGGGTAGGCTAAATTGTTAGTATTGTAATGCAAGACATATAAGAAATAAAATAGATGACTTTAAAGCATTGGTCAGAATGGAAGATTTTGATATTATGGGAACAAGTGAAACTTGGTTAGATGAAGACAATTTTAATAACAAAAATTTCTTGGAAATACAGGCTTATGGTCATTTAAAGGGAGAGTATCAAAGAGAGGGAGTAGTGGTTTAACCCTAGAATGCCAGTGTTAAATTAGAAATCATTAACACCAGGTGGTATGAGGATGGGATCATAGTGACCCCATGCTGACATTATAGGGTTAATATGTAATCTGTTATATCCTGCTGAAATTGAGAATATAAAAGCTAATAGCAAGGAGTTCAATATCTTTGTATGTATATTAGCAGTTATAAGGGGAGAAGGCTTTTAGTAGGAATTTGCCAGAGATCACTAGATGAAACTGAGGAAATTATTGAAAAACTTTAAACGTAAGATTAAGATTTCAGCTATTAATGACATAATTATCAGGGATTTTAATTTCAAGCTTATAGTCAAGTTATGAGGGAGACAGGATTTTTAGAAAATGTTCAGAATGGGTTTATTCTTTCTTTACCAGTTGGTTAGGGAACCTACTAGGAACAATGCTATTTTATATTTATTTTAACATTTAAAATAGAAATTGTTGACAGGGTGGAGATTGGGGAACATTGAGTGCAAGTGATTATTGCCTAGTTAGGTTTAATGTTTTGTTACATATGGAAGGAATAACAAAATTTTGATTCCAAATTTTAAGGGGATGAAACAAGAATTATCTGTTGTGAATTGGGCAACTGAATTAATTGGAGATACTGATCAAATGTGGGAAACAATTTTAAATAATTTCTTAAATATTCAAGATAGGCAAGTTCCTTATAGAAAAAAATGGTGGCTGTAAGTAAAAATCCAGGTTGGTGTTTGCATCACTCTCTCTTCTTTCTTAATATTGGGTCGAACTATTGTAGCTATAGAACCAGTGTCAATCACCATATTGCGAGGCTTCCTATCGAAAAAATACCTATGGACTCATAAAATGGTTTCTTCAAGTAGTGAACTTATATTGTTTGGAACAGATTAGATGTCTTCAGCTGAATTTTTCCCCACAAATCTAGCTAATTTTCCTGTTTCCCAATTTCAAGTTAGTATTTGGTTGTTCTGTTAGGTTCAAGAAATTAATGTCACTTTTTTTAGATGAAAAAACCCGAACAACTTATATATCAAAACAAAATA